AAATTAAACCTTTTGTATATTAGGTAATGCGCGGAGGCAAATTTTGGAAATTTATAACGAAAATTAAAAGCTTATTAATTGTGTTAATCGTTTACCTTATCTTTGTCATCATCATCATGATGTCGTCAGTCTTAAGACTCTTACCACTCTTTCTTATCCTGAGCTAATTTTCGCATTTCCCTAAAACTAAAACAACCCATATCCTTAACTATTTGCGTTTTTTATTAACAGTAATCTAATCTACCTCTAGCCCTCTGAACTTCATTTTCTGCCTCTAATATGTCTCTGACTAGACCTTCATGCCTGAGAAGGTGTCCTACCAACCTATCTCGTCTATTTCTTATTGACTTCCATACAGTCCTCTGTTCTCCTATTCTTTCTAGTACCTCTTCATTTCTTACCTTCTCTATCTACGCTATCCTCATCATTCGTCTGTAAAACCGCATTTCGAACGCTTTTAACCTGTTCATTTCCTCTGCGCCCACTGTCCATGTTTCGCACCCGTAAACATACATCTTTAACAACCTTCTTTGAATTTCTAAATTAATCGTTCGCGAGCGTAGAAGTGATTTCTTTTTATTGAAAGAGACTCGATCCTGCGTTATCCTCTGCTTTATATCCCTACTACTCCTTCCATCCTGACTTTTCTGACATTCGCATTAGCAGTGGTGGAATATTACACATGGGAATTTTCCCTATAATAATGTTAATCCGTCTTTCGTAAGTGGGTTATCTCACATACTGACACATAGTGAACTATACATAGTTACATACACTTTTCATTACTTTAATTATCACATGATTAACTTGATGACTATGATTATGAGCTCTCCTTGGTTTTCCCTCATTTCATATCTCTCTTATAACTCCAATGAAGTTCTTCAAGTCAATTTGTCATTAGAAAATGGCTCTTTTGGTATCTAACTATCATGTAGGCCTCTAAATGGTGTTTATAAAAATTAGGAATTAACGAGTTTTAAGTATGATAGTTAATACGGTCTAAATGAAGAAAGTTTCGTTCTTTATTGACTGTTTTGTGTTTAACAGGAAGAACGTTTTCTTCATATGGTATACGACCTAATGCTGTTTATTGTCCAAAAGAAATGTCGAATAAAGTGTTGATATGCGTTATTTGAATTAACACATTATTCTGCAGAATTAGCGCGCTAAAATTAAACTCGAAATTAAAGCTGAATTCATTTTACTGAAACCTCATATATTGGCTTCTTTGGTACATCTTTTTATTTCTTGATATCGTTTTATTTAGCACATAAACGGTTTCTTGTTCTTTCAAGGTGATGGATACTTGTCTGTTTTTTTTTTTATGACTGATAAAAGCGAACTCGTCATTATCAAAACGGCTTGCTTCGCCAAAGAATGAAAGAATGAGATAGATATAATGAGAGCAAGAAAGAGGTGAAAATTGAAACATTTCCTGTAAAAGAAAAATACTTCGGTGTCCAGATCCGATCTAACACGAACAATAGAAATTAATATTACAAGTTACTGTTATTATTAATTCGGCGCCATGTTAATGGGTAGTATCGATTGCTATTAATTATTGAATTATCGCGTTAGTTTTCGTAAATTACTAAAGAAAACTTATCCGATATCGTGTTNAGGTTGTAGTGGGTAGAGGTTACCTCTTCCCTTTGGGGGTTTATCCCTACAATCTCTCATAGGTGAGGCTTAAAGTACAGTATTTCATGCCGCAATATACAAATATATTTGAGGCGAGAGAGAACATTCATTTACCACAACCTAACCTATCGTAACTAACCCAAACTAGCATAAGCTAGGTTAGATAGGATAGGTAAGCTTGAAGTGGATAGAAGTTCCGTCTTCCCTCTGTATTACGATCAGATGTTACGTACCTATAGAAAGTAAACTGTTTATTTATAAAAACTGAGGTAAAGGTCTAGAATATCCCCCCTTTAGATTAGACTAGACTTTATAGTGTATGAAAATTGGAAAATTACAGAACTTTGCAACCCCATAACTTTTTCTGGGGGTGTGACCGCCGCGAACTTTTTATGGTGGTTTACTCAGGAAGACCTCTTCTTTCAATACCCCCTTCGGGGGTGATGGGATAATCTAGACCTTTACCAAATATAATACAGTATTTAGGGTCATGACTTGGGAAACTAGTTAGGGATGAGGAAGTACATTCACCTATTAAAACGGTGCAGTTTTTTATTCAATATCTAAACATTTTAGAAGTTGTAAAACATAGAAGATCTGTGTTGACCCCTTCTGTTTTCATGGATTGTCCTAATAACTTGTTCAACCTCAAAGAAACAGCGTTTGAGTGTCATACCTTTCAAACTACTGTAAACTGCGACATGAAAAGTGATACTTTAATAAATTGCATGGTACCCGGACCTTATCACTCAGTTAAAATATGTTCTGTAGACACAGCAACAAACAATAATTCTATGCAACCAATTATTGAAATAGATTCTGATAACGATGAAAATTTGGACGATATTGTAATAGATGGGAATTTTGAATTGGATTTTTTAAACTTGAGTGATATTGCCGACATGTACGGGGTCAATGGTGATGATAATTTCAATTAGATCTAAGAAATTATGCAGACGATAAAGTAAAAATTTTCTTGCAATTATTTTTTTACTTCTGACTTGTTAACGTTTAATAATAATCAAATATTATGTGACCTACTTATTGTAAGGTATATAATGAATTATTATAAAAAAAATTTTGAAAATATTTGCCGGTAAAAAATATTTCTTAAATTTTATAATACGTTAATGTCATCCCCTATAATTTCATCCGAGGTACGACACGGAAAAATGAACATCACAACTATTTTATAAAATAAAACCCTCTAGTAATTAATTACAAACAGTTTTATTGAGATTTAAAGTAATTATTATAAAATAAGTCAGTATTCATTACCATATTTAACAACAAAACACCAAATGGCAACAGAAACATAATTTATTTATATATTAAATGAAATTCTGAGTAAAAAATTTATTTGGTAAATAAACATCACTCAAAAAATTGTCGGTTTTCATTATCCCTTCGATTTCTGCCTTTATTTTC